GGGCTAGTGGTTTAAGCCAGATGTTGGTACTGTTGTGCTCTTAGTTTGATTCCTGGTAAAAAAGATGTATAATACCAAAATGGTATTAACAAAGATTGGTCACGGGCCTAGAGAGGAATTAAGGCTTAGGCCTAAACCCTTCCTGGTTAATAAAAAAAAAAAGGAAAAAATACCTCATTTGTAAATTTATGCTAAACAAAGACACCCTAAAAATTGGACGCGGTGAAGGTCCAGTCAAGGTCAGGCTAATAAAGGTCCAGTCAAGGTCAGGCTAATAAAGGGTGGGAGTGTATGGGATTGATTATGTGGGGAGAAATTTTTTTTTTTTTCAAATCCCCCTTTATTGGATTTAATATTTATAAAATTCTCTCAAATTTATGGTTATTAGATTAGTTATTTATAAGTGGAAGCTCATTTAGCCCAATGGTTTAATAAGGGTTTATTAATGCTTTTACACTAAGAAGTCTGGGTTTCAAATCCCAGCGAGCGCGATTTATTCTTAATTATGCAGATTAATTTATTCTTAATTATGCAGATTAATGAATAATGATGCAAATTAATGGAGGCAAGCTTACAAGAGATCTTCAGGTGCAAGCAGAATCGCTAGGCGTAGATCTTCATATGATGATAGTAAGCGTGATACAGATAGAGCCGTGTTAGTCGTGGATCTTCGTAAGACGGTAGAATTGACCGTTGTAGAATCGTCGATATAACAGTTCTCATAATTTGCAATAGATTAATAAATCAGTGTTAAAAAAAAGATTAGTTATTTATAAAAATTCTCACAAATTTCATCTTATTGGAAAACAGAAATTTCAATAATAAAATATATCAAAATAATTTGGAATTATTTATAAAATAATTTGTAGTTAAAAAGTGATTGATAAAAATATTGTATCTCAACTATGGTAATCCATATTTTTTCTGTTTTTGGATAAAATCTATTGTATTTTATTTTGTATTCTTTACAATTTTCAATTATACTTTTTGTATATTGATCAGATTAACCTCTCCCTTCTTTTTTTTTACTTGGTTAAAACCTTTTTTCAACTATCTTGTTTCATTCTTAACAAATTTAATATTTTCAGGGATTACAATTTACAAAATCTGTTTATCAATGTAACCGTTTTCTTTTTATTACTACATATACGGTAAATTTTTCTCTAACTTCTAATCAACAACTCATACCACCGGATGAAGTGGGCTAGTGGTTTAAGCCAGATGTTGGTACTGTTGTGCTCTTAGTTTGATTCCTGGTAAAAAAGATGTATAATACCAAAATGGTATTAACAAAGATTGGTCACGGGCCTAGAAAGGGATTAAGGCTTAGGCCTAAACCCTTCCTGGTTAATAAAAAAAAAAGGAAAAAATACCTCATTTGTAAATTTATGCTAAACAAAGACACCCTAAAAATTGGACGCGGTGAAGGTCCAGTCAAGGTCAGGCTAATAAAAAAACTAAGAAAAATAGTACCACTGTACCACAGAGATGTTGAAAAGATGTTGTGTGAATATTAAAACCAGCTATTTCGGCGAGTATTTCATAGGATGATCTGACAAATAAAATTTTATATATTAAAATAAAGTTGCTTTCACGTTGCAACAAAATCTTGAGATAATCACTTTCCAGGCATTTGTTAGTTAAATATTGTAGATTATTCATAGGTACTTAACTAATCCAGCTAGGCAAGTCTAGATAGTTACATCAGTACACTTCAGTACTTGCTTTGAAGAAGAAGATGTGAAAATTGAAGAAGCAAAATTCGAGATTGCCAATAATCAATTATTTGATCGGTAGAGATGGCCACGTTAAACGGAACCTAATTTCAACTATTTAAATTTCAAATCGTAGTTAATCATCCTAGATCGATATATACTTATATTTTGGGATAAACTAAGAAAATATTTATTAAAAATAAAGTAAAAATAGGCTGAATCTTTTAAAAAACACGTAAGTAAACTAATTTTAAAATCTTCTGATCAAAACTTTTAACTTTTAATGTTTAGGGTTTAAGATTGAAGGTTTGTTTTTGGAACTTTAAGATTTAGTTTTTACTAAGGTTTTAAATTTTGTAAAATTTAGACTTTAGGATTTATATGTGGACTATTTTGTTAAATATAAGAAATTTAGACTATTGGATATATTTTTCTGTATCCAATACAATTAACTAAGTATAAGTTTGTATATATCCTTTACTTAGTTAGACCGGATAAAAAAAATCATATAGTGTGACGATTTATCAAGTTATATTAAGTAACAAACCAGGAAACTGAAGCTAATCCAACCAATCGAACTATTTCTCATCCTAGTTCGTATAGTTTTTGTGTATGCTTTAAATGACCAAAACTATACACAATACATTGTTCTTCCAATATTAAAGAAATTTTCAGTCGAAATTAACAAAGAAATAATATAAATACTAGATTGAAAATTCCTATACACCCATAATATATATATGTAATTACAAACTCTAGTCTTCCTCCTTTTTTCCTTCTTACTTTAATTTCTCCCTTGTAACTTGTAAGTTGTATCTAATAAATTTCTTTTGACTGCGTCTATGTTCTTTAACATGGGAAGGTACCATATTCTCTGCTTCAGAGTGCTTTTCTGTTTCGAAGCAACGAGGAACGACCTTTTCAAGGTATCTCTTGCCCTCTTAGCTGCATTATTTTTGTTTTTGTATATATATATATCCTTGTCTGAGTTTTACAGAGCATTTCTTTCTTCTTTAGTTCGTTACAAAAATTGCTTAGTGATTTTATTTAAACGAACAAAGCTTTTAGATATATTCGTATCACCACTCATCTAATATGTTATATTCAGTTAATATCTAGTTTTTTTCGCTCAGAGACTTTCAGTGAGATTTGTAGTGTTTAATTTATTTTGTTTTACAGTACTTTCTAAAAGGGTTTTATACCTTCCTACTGATCCATATTTGTTCAGAAATGCTATATGGGTAAAATCCAAATAAGAAAATGTATAATATTAAATTTATGCAAATATTAGATAATATAACTTGATAAATGAAAAACATATCGTTAAGAGAAGAACGTAACTAGCCTGTTCTTTTTTCAGCTTTGAAGCTGAGATCTGTTAATTATTTGTTTCAAATATCTACTAAATTTGAGTTCATAACTCTATAGTAATAGAAAAATTTTCAGTTATGCTCTTCCTGACAAAACCGTTAAACTTGCTTTTAAAATAACACATCCTATAATTAAATTTCTATGTTCAAAAGAAAAAAAAATAACATAACCACATAATTTGGACTTTACGGGAGTTAAAGATCTTAGTTTCTAAATTTCCTCCATCAACACAAAAGCCGCCAGCGATTCCACCGGCCGGTGAGATAGTTCACCCACAGTACCAAGTTAGGGAGATTTGCGGAGATATTTGAATATGTCCGTATCTCTTTTGAAACTGGGCCAGTTGCAGCATTGAATTTTTCATTTTTGTCAAAACAAATTTAACTGTTTTTATCTAAGTTTTAAGAAAATCATCATCACGTTCTTATAGCAATATAGTTTGCGAGAGATACATGTATATACTATTTCTTGTGACTATCATCATGTATATTGTTCTTTTGAAGGTGTGGTCCATCATGTATTTTGATTTTTGTACGATATATTTACATATGTAGATGATATGTAGCCATATGTAGATGATAATTCGCGTAATTCACATTTTTGAAAGAAAAAAAGTGGAAGACATTGTCTAAGTGAAAGTTATATATACAATGTTTAAATTATATTGGATTTGTTTATTTGTTTTTCTGTTTTTCGTATAAAAAAATTATTTTAAAATTCTTTTACACATATATATATATATATATCTTCTCTACATTATCTTGAAACGTTTCTTTTGAAATTACTAAACATTCACATTGTGTTATATGTATACTTCCTGTTTCAAAATAAGTGTCACTTTGACACCTTTCACACAAATTAATAAAGTTAACAAAAAGTCTTTTCTATCCCTAATAAATACACTAAATAACTCTCTCTTTCTAATTAATACACTAAAGTAACAAAGTTAAAACTGGATATTTTGTTATAAATTTGCATTGAAAACTTAAAACAACACTCTTTGTGAAACAAAAACAAAACTCTAAAACGACATTCTTTATGAAACGGAGGGAGTATTAGATATCATATCCTGATATTTTTGGTCTACACACGTTCACTCTGACTCTCTGAAACCTGAACATGTTTCTTTTAACACGAACGGCGGAAAGTATACAAGCCAACAAACTATTAACTTCCGTTAGCTAACTTGATTTTTAAGTAAGTTTTGGTAAGATTGTGTTACAGAGTTGAATAGTGTTTGCAATTTTCTGACTAGATTGTAATTTAACTTATGTTGAAAATTGAAATGAATGACATCAAGCGCCAAGTGGTGATAATGTTTACAACATTTTGAAGTAATATGGGAGTTGATTCTATGGATCACTTCAGAAAATTGAACTTTCCTTTGGTAACTACTCATTTAAATCAATAAAATTCGTTGACAACTCTTAGTCAAATGAACTTAACTAACAAGTCTTAAAATCAATACTACTCGAAATGTAGAAGTCAACAATTCTCTTTTCCAAGAACCCAAACTCTAAACGCCACTAAAAACCAATTAATAATTCCTTCAAAAGCATAAATATTATTGCAAAAGATCCTTATCTGAGCAAAACTAAGATCTATCCTCCACATGTTTGGATGGCCAAATCATAACCAAAGGCACGGTTCACACACATGCGTGTGTGGATGGTTACTTGTATATGATACTCAATATTCATGATCATACATGTTTAATTTTTTGGGTCCTAATGGAAATTAGGGTTTGAGGAAACGAACCTAATATAGAGCTCTATATGAAACATCAAACTGCAAAGTGCTTAGTCTTAAAGACTGTTATGTGTAGTACCTGATCGAATTATGAATCTTGAACTGGACTAAAGTTCACCAAATATATAAATCATTTATTGATTCATATTCAAAATACTTTAAAGGTTACAACGCCACTTGGAAATTGTATCTAAGACATTTCAAGGTAGACAAACTGAATCTTGATAAATGATACATATGATTAAATAAGTACATGTTAAGAAAACACAAATAACATTTAGTATACATACATTCAGGAGGAATCAACGATTATTTTGGCTTACATGTGTAAATCTGATGCTTAGTCCTCCGAATATATCAAGGTTTATGGGAACCCTGTCAGATAAAAAAATCAAGAGAAAGAAACATATCATGGAATGCAAAGACACATGCATCATAATTTAGGCTAGAGAAGAGTCTTGAATCGAAACTGTACCTCTGGGGAAATTTGTGTCGGCGACTGCACAAAAGCGTTGATCAATAAAAGGGTTTTGATCATAATTAAAATCCAAATTTTGAGGCAGAATGGTATTATAGTTGCTGCAAGAACTCTGATCTTTCAACATAAACCCCCCAAAATGGTGATTGTAGCTTTGATCCATATTTGTCGGAAGATTGATCTTTGTCTTGGTGAAGATAGATTCTTGATTATCAAACTCTTCCATTGCTTCCTTGTACAAAGAATGCGTCATGTCTTCTCCTTCATTAAAGATAATAGACCTCTTGAACGGGTCCATGATTTCAGATTGTGTGATCTCGGAGGTCTCCCTTGTTACCTCCTTTGTTTTTCCTCTAGCTCTGGCTCTTGGTCCCTTCGAACATATGTTGCTCATCTCACTTTTCTTTTTTCTCTTCTCTGCCTTCTTGACCTCACGTACCACTTCTTCTTCACAGTTCTCGGGGCTAGAACCATACACGAAGCTCTTATTGCCATCATCATCATCATCATCATCATCCTCTTCCTCTTCTACATAACCTCCATTGTTTCCAAAATCTTCATCATCGTTGTTGAGCGTTTTTTCTTGGACAAGCTCGTTGATAGCTTTTCTTGATTTCTTAAGTAACCAGTCTAATGTTTTACTGGCTTTATCAAACCCCAACATATCCTGGAGATCGAAGAATTGGCGAGCAACCCCTATAGAAAGCCTTACCCTCCTGTCTCTAAGCCCTTGTGCCGTGTGAATCTTGCTATGCCGGTCCTTCTTCACCGCCTTCTTGGTTTCCCTTGGCACCTCAGGAATCTCGAAACCTTGCTGATTCACGGCATTGTTTGAGTTAAAAGCCATGTAATCTATCAGAGACTCAGGTACTGCTGATACCATTTGGCCCGGAGATGCGGTCAGCTGATGATTGTAGGGATTACGGATGATGTCTTGATGGCCTGAGAGTGAAGAAAGATAAAGAGAGAGAGGGTACACTCCACTGTTGTTACCATTGTTGTAATCATTGTTGAGAGAAGACATCACCGAGCTTAAGAAGATTCAAGAATCAAGATCAGGAATGAAGAGTCAAGTATCAAGATTCACCCATATGCGTTTTGTTTTAGAGATGAAACCCCAACTTTCACATCATCAAAAAGCGAGAATCTAGTATAAAGAGGAAAGAGAAAAGAAAAAAAAAACCCAGAAACAAGAAAGAGAGAGAGAGAGAGTATGAGTCCAATTCTAACACCAAGACAAAACAAGCTATAGAGATATTAATGGTGGATGCATGAGAGAGATGTGTAACAAGAACCTGTCTAACTGTAGAGTGACGAAGACATGAGTTTGTGTCTGTTAATTAAAGATCTGCTTTCAAAAGATGCTTTTGGGTCTGAATTAGAAATATCGTTTCTTCCTCACTCAATTACAGGTTAATTTTGGCGTAGGGCTTTAAATTATCTTTTAGGGTTTCCAATTCCAGATCCATGCCGGTTAATCAGATTATATATTGGGAATTAAACCTCAAACTCAACTACTTTTAGTATCATCATAGAATACACTTTTACTACGTATACATATACAAGTCTTGGCAATGGCAATATATATCTAAAAACCATGGCCCATAAAATGGAGAAATGGTCCAGAAATATAATAATACAAAAACAGAAAACGACCTGTGAAGGGTTTTGTTTCCATTTCGACGATAAAGACCAGGCTTTTAAGAGTCATGATTCAAAGCGATAGATGTTCTTGAATGTACAGTGGTTTTCTTGTCCGGATCTCAAAGAAGATCTGCTTGTCTTTCTATTTGTTTTTGATTAAAAGAAAAAAAAAGATATGCTATTCTTTTGAGTCTGGACCAACGGGATTAACATTTTGTCTAGCGGTTACTATTTGTTTCCTACTTGCCATGGAAAAGAAAATTCAGATTTTCTTTTTGTGTGGGTGAAAGAGTGAAAGTTTTGACTGATTAAACGAAACTCTATATCCGGAAGTGTATATAACATAAACATTGTCCCTTTTTTTAGGGTTTTGTCAAAAGATAAAAAAGAGGCTTTAATGTGACCTGAGTTGGTTCCCTTGTACGATTGCATAAAGATTGTGAAAGGATTTGTCGTTTTCAAAATTTTCCTTTTGACGTCCCTAGCTATTAGTCAAGGGTTATTTACAAGTAGGCACAATCAAACTATTTTATTTGCAAAACCATATAGAAGATATGATGTTTTAGCACATTAGATTATTTTAAAGGCAAAATTAAAAAAATACGGTAATTTCATAAACAAAGATGAGAACTTTTTCATTGGAAATTATAAGATAAACTAAATCTTTTAAAATTTGAGGAAATATAGATTTTAAGGTGTTTAGGTTATGAATTTAGGTTTGAAAAGGAGTTATAGTTTAGGTTTTAGTTTTTAGTTTTTGGATCTATGGTTTAGTTTTAGGGATCTAGAGTTTATGATTTAGTTTTTGGATATAGAGGCTTTAGTTTATAGTTTTTGGATTTACGGGTTTTAGTTTTCAGTTTTGTTATTTGTTGATTGATAGAAACTAATTTTCTACCCTAGCTAGTTTTAATTGATTATTTATTGTTTTGGGGTAGTTTTAATGTTTGTGTATTATGAAAAAAAAATAAGTTGTATCCAAAACCTATCTACTCCACAAATCATATTATTAATTGGCAAGCAAGTTGGGCTGTGGTTGAGAATTATGATGGTTGATTATTTTTTGCCTCTTATATGAAAAGACTTTATTTATCCTTAATAAAATTAATAAATTAATATAATCTAATTTTTAATTAGTTTTTTTTAAAATCTAGATTTCTAAATTCGAGTTTATATCATAAGAATATTCAGTTTACTAAAAAAGTAACTAGCATAAATCATAAAAAAAATTAATCCTAATTATTTTTTTAAAATAATTTTAATTTAATCATTTAATTTACTAATATTTTCGATTAACCAAATTGATTTATGCGGTCACAATTAAAACCTTAAATCTTATAAAAACTGATTTATGCGGTCAAAAAATAATATATTTCATTAAAATTGTATTTTCAAATATATTAATTTTGATTTCAAATAATTATAAAATCTGATTTTTTCATCTATAAATAAATTAATGTTATTGATTTTTCAAAAATTTAATCGAATCCCGCACAAGGTGCAGGGAAACATCTAGTAACAAATTATATACCCTGGAAAAAACCTTTCTAAGCCAATTTCTCTAGAAAATGTAGGTGTAATTAGTACATTAATTAGTAGAATATATATATTTCCAAACTACTGTTTTTTTTTCTCTAGTTTACCGAATTTTTATAGACAAACCCTTCTTAGCCACTCAAAATCCACTCTCTTAACTTTAACTTTAGGCTTATCTAGTTGTGTACCAAACAATGGGCAAAGACAGTTTAGTACAAATGATGCATCCCCCTTAGGTCCCGACTAGCTTCATGTGCAATAAACACGCCAACTGCTTGTTGTACTTACAAGTTACAACAGGGAGATTAATTGAAACCATAGATCATATACTCCTTCACTGCGACTTCAGCTCCCAACTCTGGAGAAAGGTACTCTCACGGCTAAGCCAGCCTCACCTTTCTTTTGCTGATTGGTCTGAACTTATTCATTTGGTTTCCTCCTCTCTCTAGATCCCCAAGAAAGCCAAATATTATAAGATTTAAGGATATTTACCAATACAAAACTCATTTCGAATGAAATTAGAGTTAATATCGATCTCAAAGTTTAAGCAATTAATGCCAAACCCATGATCCCAAAGTAGTGCTTGGAACATACTATAAGATGATGGCAAATCCAGCTTACCCACAAAAAGCTCTACGTTGAAGCAATCCTTCAAATAAAGTTGCATCCCCAATTTTTTTTTTTTTTGGGTTGCTTTAGGCATACAAGCATCGTCCCCTAATATTTTAGTTTTATACTACTTGTTTAGGAGAACCCGACCACAAGAAAATATTGTTGAATTCAACTGAAATATATGAACCATTTTTTTATCGTTTTACCAAATAACAAGTTTCTAACAAATCCACATGAAATCAGTGGTAAAATAGAAATTTTGTATATAAACTTTTTTTTTCAGTCAAATATTTTTATAGTTTATTCAAAATATATCAAGTAATAAAGTACTAAAACAAAAACTTGGATTATAGTTTTGTTTATTTATTTCTTCGAAAGTTCAATTAAGATTAAAAATATTTAGAGTTTACATTTACCTTTATGTAAAAAAATGATTTAGGTAAGTTAAAAATGATAATCAGGTAAAAACTAATTTACAATAAAAAAAAATACACTAGGATTTAGGAGACAAATGGAGAAATAAAACAAGAGAAATTGGGTCATATGACTATATTAAACTGAAAAATAGATAAACTAACCATAAAAATCAATGGCTATAGTATTTTGTATATATTCTACAATATATACCAAATTATCCTTCTTCTATTTTTTTCTTTTCCTTCCTGTTTTTTCTTCTTCCCTCCTTTTTCTTGGGTTTTTTTGATCAATAACCATATTTGCAAAATAATAGAAGAATATAGCTATGCTATTTGACAAATTAGTAAATTAACCATGGCCCACAATCAATTATCGAAAATAACCTTGTACTATATTATACTATATACTATACTATATATAATTTTATGGAATAGTCCTCTCTTTGATATAGTATATACAGAAAAATAGAGGAAGGGAGAGAAATTTCACAAGAGAGGAGGGGAGAAGAGGAAAGGGGAGGCAAGGAGAGGGAAAGAAAGAAGGAGAGATGAGATTAGCGGAGGTGAACAGAGGAAAAGAAAGGGAAAATGATTAGAAGAGAAAAAAAGATCGTAAAGGAAAGAAATTAAGACAAAAATAAAAAAAGTAATTTTGTATATATTATAGAATATATAAAAAATATTATAGCATCTACTTTACTATAGTTATTTCATGAATTTAGCTTCGAAATATGGTCATATGATCCAATTTCTCTTTTTTCTTCTTTTTCGTCCCCTTTTCTCCTCTTCACTCCTTCTTTTTCCCCTTTCTTTCCCCTCCGGTCTTCTCCTCTACCCTCACTTGTCACTTTACATTTTGTCATCACTCCTATACAATTCATAAGATATAAATATTTTATATATAGTATAGTATAGTAATATAAATCGATATAGTATACTATAATAATGTATTTATAAATTTTGTTTGAAGGATAAAATAGACAAATTTTAAGGTTTTTAGTTATTGAATTAATTATGAAATTAGTATGGTTATATTATTTATTTTATGGTGAAATATGATTATTTCACAAATTAACCCATAAGAATGTTGACAAAAAAATAAAATAAAAAGAAGATGGGCTCTTTGGGTATAATGATGGGCTGCTGAAATGCTTATAGTATAAAATTTTGAACGACCCAATCATTAACGAATATTTGGCGATCTACCTGCAAAATGTGAAGGGTGGACAAATTATTTAAAAGATCCACACCGATTTTGGATCTGTCTCGATTTTTTTAAATATCCATGATCGTGGATAAGAGTGATAGTAGTAGCAAGTAAAAATCTAGAGGTACATGTACAAATGAATGTATCATGTTATGGGTAATGATTTCTTTTGTTTGATTATTTGAATCTGGCCTGAAAACATTTATTATTAACTTTTATACAATGATAATAGCATATTGTATAAAAGTAAAACCACGTTTTGAAGTCCATGCTTCCATTAGATTAAAAAGTCCATGGACAACTTTATAATGAATGATAAGTCTCGAAATTATGCAAGTGTCGGAATTAGTACTAGAATATACAAATGTTCTGAAGAATTTATTTAAACAGGAAAATGTGTCGTTGATAATACATTAATCGAGCTTATTTTCATCTTCCTCTTGTTTGCCCATTGCCATTTTGCTCTAGAGGTAATAATATGTATTGAGTATTTGTATGCTATAACAATGAAAATTGTACGAGTTAATAAATCATCATCACAGTATATATGTTCATGTCAAAATCACCAAAAACAGTGAAAAGTTGACCAATTACAAGCAATGCCCCTTACCATCTTTTAAAACTATATATGATCAAAGTAGGCCTAGATCAAAGAAACCTATCAATGTAGTATATTTTTGACACATTTAGTACATTACACCTCCATCTAGCTATTTTAAATACATTTTCTAATATCTATCTACATGAAATTACGCTGACGTACATTTCAACTCACAATTTGATAGAGATTTCTATAAAAATAAACCTATATAGGTGTAGGCTCAACAAAGAATAGAATATACTAATTAGACACCTATAAAAAATGTGAAATGTAATTACACACAATAGTCGACTTTTTTCAAAACTATTCACTAATTCGACTGCGCAAACAAGTGATTAAACTTCTTAGAAGATTGAAAACATTAATTAGGTATGTACGACACATTAACCATCTTCTTTTTTCTTCTTTTACATATATGGACTGACAAAATCCGATCCAATAGCTATTTAAACGTTATAAATGTGAGCATATAAAGTCAAACTTTTGATGATAAAAGCCATAGAAATGATGACTTCCTAACTATTTGACTAATGACACCCTTCTAACCATACTCTAATCGCCAAGAAACTCACAATCGTATTTGACAAAAACGGTGGTTACCAATTTGGATATAGTCTAATCACTCTTTGAGTCTAAGTTTAAACGTGACTAAAATGTCCAATTCAACGCAAAAATATGGGTCCTAAGAAAAACGCAAACAGGAGATGATGTGGCGATCGGATCTGATGGTGTATGGGTCCTAGAACATTGGCCTTTGCCCGTGGGCAGACATAAAAGCTGTCATCACTAAGAGTATACTTTTACTCAGTCGCGGCACGTTCTCATTGGTCAGGCTTGACTATCTTGTCAGTTCTGAATGTGAAGCTATGCATTGTATTCTTCATTACATATCAGTATATCACCCAAACTCGGTAATAAGACACAAGGCAAAACAGTAATGACTGTTGACTATCTTTTTTTTTTCTTCCCTTACAAATCATGACTTGTTATTTTCATGAAATGCCTTTTTTCTCTCCAGCCAATGATATGTACTCCTTGTATGGTCTAGGAAAATAAATGAAATTTTAAACTGTTGTTAATGTATTGAAAACAGTCGCATTTAATAATTTTGTTGAATTTAATTCGGTAGGTCCAAACAAACACATGTGCTTGAAGGTTCAAAAATAGGGGCAAGATATGATGAAAAGTTTGATATGATTGATACTGAATTTCCTTTCATATTCGTAAATGCCAAATTATTTCTATTCACAATTTAGTAATTTTACCAGATTTTTTTTTGTTTTTGAAAATTTAATTACTAAAATGGTTTTTGGACATCATTTATACATTAATAACCGCGTACGCCTGAGTACGTGTTAAATATTACTCTTTTTATTTCAAAAAAAAATTAATTTTTAAATATTTTATAGATACTTTTTGTTTATTTTTCAAATTAACATTAATTTTTATATTTTTTATCCAAAAAGTAATTATTATTTATAAAAATTGAATGTATTAAACATAATGAAAAAAATCAATTTTTTAGATATAAAAATATAATTTAAAACGTCAAACTTTTGAGAACGGGAAAATAATTTATTTCTATAATGAAAATAAAACTTGAATCATTTTTTGATGGTTCTACATCCAGTTATTAATTTCTTTTGTCATAATTATTACGGCTTGGCATCTAATATTGTTATTACTGTTAAATATCATAACAACAAGGAAGACCTGGAAGAGAGTCAGTGGTAGAAAAAAAAAAGAAATTACCCTAGCAATTACTCTGTATGCCTTTACAAACTATGATCATACTTTCCTCTCCTTACTTTTAATCATACACTAACATCAAAGAAGATGATCTAATTATTAATTTGCATGCTAGCTAATTCAACAAATTATCATCTAAACTCATATTTAGAAGAACACATCGGAGGCATCACGATATATCATTCATGAATGCTCGACCGTTATATCTCCAACTCATAAACTCCTCTCACAACGCATACAGCCACAAAGATCCGATCCCTTTTCTTCAAATCAAACTCCTGTAATACAATATAGAGAGATACTGTGTGCACAATATGCTGTCTAGTACTGATGTGTACATGAAGAGGAGCCGCATGCAAGTGTTTAGTCATGCCAGCAAATGAGCATGACCACACATCTTCTGATGATGTAAAGCCTTCCCTTTTGCTCTCTCAAGTATCCTCCAAGCTTTTTGCTGCATGGAGTCTTCTTCTTGGTGTCTTTCATAGCGATCGAGAGAGAGAGAGAGAGGGGAAGAAAGAGAGTATGTGTGAGTGAGAGGAAGAGAATGATGTTGTGCAAAGAGAGTAAGACTTAACTTATATATACTTACATACATGCATAGGTAGGAAAACTTGTATACACCATACCCATTATAGATGATAATAATTATTAAAAAAAAAAACAAGTAACAAGGGAAGTGTATCCCATACTTTCTTTCATCATGCATGATGAGGCATTAAATATTCTTTTGTATATTAAGAAAAAGTGGAATTTGAGATTTAAATTGGAGTCTCTCCATCTCTACCTTAATTAAGGATATGCCATGTCAATATTTCTAAGAAGTAGGAAGATTACAAAGGAATCTAAGCAACCCCACGCGCATTGATTACTTTTCTCTTGTATGATACTTTGGAAACTGTCCTTGTCATCGTGTGTTGGATTGATTATCCTTTTTTTGAAGAGAGATTGATTATCATTGACATCTCTAACCCTACGTCGAACCAATTTACCCCAAGATCTTAATACACACACTGGTTATTAAATAACAACAGTTGGTTTCATTAACAAGATTCGCTTGACAAAACAATATACATAACGATACTCGCAATGATATTATTAATATGTTTTCAACAACAATCTATGTAGTGATGAGTCCGATTGGTGATCAAAAGTTTTTAGGGGGAAAAAAAGAATATGGTAATAGATAGTAGAATAATTAGAAGAGGTAAGAAAATAGCAGTAACAAATAATAATAGTATTGCTAATTTTTTTTTATGATTGATAACCATCAAATTTAATAGAATATACTTACTAGCCAAACCCGGTATGTTACGTTGTTGTTGTGAAAGCGATAATTTTGAAACTTTTCTATTGCTATATTCATCAACAACATATGATCTCCAACTATATATATTATATATATAAACCTAAATTTTAAAGAAGTAAAAAGCTCTGACACATATATACAAATCAAGAGGTACAAATGTGCTAAGAACAATTATAAAACTGATACAATATATGTTAATATCGTCGTAACTAACAGATACTAATATATATGGACAAACATTCAATTTTTTAAAAAACATTCAAAAGATAGATATCCAGGAACCATGATATCCCTTTAATACAAAAATACTGTAGTCAAGTGAATTTCCCCTTGGGTTTATATGTATAAATTATAATAATAATAATTTGGAAAGAGATTAGATACTATGCACGTGATTAGTTGCACATGATGCCCGACGGGCCAATAAGATTATCTTGTAGATTTTTTCTAAACCTCTGCTCATTGCTGATTAGTGTAGATTTCTTAATTTTAAAAGCTACATATTGTACTTTATCTTAATATTTTCAACTTATTAACTGGTAGACCGTTGCTAATTTGAGAATGCTAGGGGATTCAAGTCAACTCATTACTAAATGTTATTAATTTCTGTACAATTATTTTGGTACGCGTGGGATTGGTTTATATTCCTTTGTAATCTTTGCTCCCTAGTTAAAAACAAATTACTTCATACAAGTTTTAATTTATGGTTTGTAGTTACTATTCGTTTTAAAAAAATTTAAACTCTAAAAAGTATACAATATCTACTGATGTATGTAAATAACAAGGTTAATGAAATACATTCAAGTAGAAGATATGAGACATTTTTTGCCCAAAAAAGAAGATATGAGACTTTATGAAAAATTAGAAAACTCTGAAGAGATGAACATTCTGTTGGTGTTAAGGTATTGTTTTATGGGAAAAGAATGTGTTGCATTCCGTTTTAAGATATTGTTCTATGAAAGTTATATATCCTCAAAAATTTATTTATTGGAAAAAGAAAATATAACTATCTAAAATTTCAAAATGTAGAAATGACGTCTTTGATAATATAAATAGCCAAAACAATGTAAGAAAACATTCTTGAAAATTCTTTCCTTCTCGCATAATTGAATTTCATGAATACGTATAACTGATTAAAAAAATATATACAATTAGAGATGTAATATATGGGTCGTAACCATGTTATGTGGGGACATAAAAGCCCCCCAATGATATGATAAATAGGAGACAAAGCCATTAAACTTATCGCATTACCTCGAACCCTCGGATCCAGGCAAAACTATCCGAAGCTTTTCTTGTCTATACGTGTTTATCTTATTGTAGGGTCTGTAGATTATTCAAGGAGTTAAAAATAATCTAAATTGGATAAAATAATCATTTAATTAATTAGAAGAAAAAAAGAAGAAGCAAGTGTTACAAACACACAGCATGTAGTTTAATAAAACATGTAATGTACGGATGAACACCGGTCGACATGTGATAATCCCGTGACGGGGCATGCTCTTTGCCTCTTCTAAGGTCGACAACGGACATCACATTTCTTGTTAGATAAATGTTTTTATAATATTTGTTAGATAATTGAGATGTCTAGTTATTTATTTGTGATACATGTTTTAAAATAGTTGTCGTATACATTTTTCAAACAAATTCTATTTCTTTAGTTAATTAGATAACTTATTAGCAGATTTTTTAAATTCCGAGAAATGTTATTATTTATGAATTTGCCAAGCAAGATTTAGATTTATAACTGATGTAAGAATTTGTTTCATAAAACAAGCATTTCGTAATAATTCATAGCTCCACACCGGTTTTTACTTAAACCAAAAGATCGGACCAGTTTCAGCTGATCTATACAATATAATTAAACCGAGTTGCACGAGAAGAAGCCCAATTTAACAAAAGAGAAGAAAGAAATGAGTCTGGAAATTACATAATGGGCCTATGCTCGTAACTTTTAATTAATCTCCACATTTGCATTCTTTTGTGCTCTCATCAGTTTCATCCTACAAAACAGAAGCAAGAATGTGATTAATTCTAATCTTACAACAAAATCCAAATGTTAACATTGCTGATCGATGTTAGCTTTAAAAGATAACTCACCTGTTGGCAGAGATATACTTCTCTATCTCTTGTTTCTGCTCAGGCTTAAAAGCTAACCATTTATCATCTGGAGACAAACCATCAAATGTTCCTGGATCTGTGCATGCATAAAAGATGAGATTATAGTTACTTAGAACACTCTCGCGTAAACAAAGAGTTTGAGTAAATTTACACACCTTGAAGCAAAAACATTGGTTCTTCTTGAAAGCACTTTAGTTTCCAGAGAACAAGACCATCATCGTTCATTAGGATTGACTCGGTTCTAACAGCATCACATCTTTGCTTCTCTGCAAACGGATGAACACACAACATTTTGTAAGACCATTGACAAAGAAAGAGTCTTGAAGGATTTTAGATTTACTCATACCCTTTGCCTCCAGCAACACTCCATGAGCTACTTTAGCTTCAGCTTTTATCTGAGACATAATTGCATGATGCTCTTCAATGGACAATGGAGCTCCGTTTTTCTCCATATGGGCCTTGACAAGATCACCTTGCATCTTCTGCCTCAGCTGTTTCTCCTATACGAGAAAGAAACCAAGTTTAGCACAAATAATAGTTTCGATAATTTTAAATCCTCATCTTGCAGATTATAACCTTTTCCTTTGCAGCTGCAGCCTTTTGGTTGGCTTCTCTTTTCCTCTTTTTAGACTCCGTATTTTCATCCTCAATGAATTTCCTCATAGCACTGAAAAATTTCACACAGGTGAGTTAAGTCATAACGAAGCATAAATCACAAGAAACAAAAAGTGAAATATTAAATATACATTACCCTGTGCTAAGAGATTCATCACATAGGAATATGAGAAGCTTGAGCCTTGTTGATGCATCCATCTTCTTAAACTCAGAAACACCTGACTCAAAAGTTTCAGGTGGGAAAACATCACCAAGAACTCCTGATTGCAATATGCACTCTCCAAGATAAGTGAACCAAGTGCTATCAGTTGCACTTAGAGACAAAGGCCTGTGAAACATCATTCAAATGCATCAGAGTTGATAAGAGCATATCAGGACATACTTTTTTTCTTACTAAGGCAGATAAGAAAAAAACACTCATACATCTCTCTATCATTTGATATGAACTCCAACAACTGGATCATCATCGGGATAATAGTACAGTATTGTTGTCTCTTTGTATTACGCCCAGATGAATAAAGCTCGGCAACAACAGATTCAGCTTGCCCTTCCTTCAAATCAAGAGCCTATCAGAAAAAAAAAGAGAGTTTAATTAATCGCAAAGAAACACACAAGGAATGATAATTACAGATCATAAGTTGATTTATTAGCATACCTTTCCAAAGACTGAACAAAACTCAAGAAACTGCAATACATTCCCAGTATCTTCAGCGGGTATATCAATGCCTGAGACATTAGTCAAGCTTATACCCTGAGGAAGTTGAGCATCAATCTGAGTTTCCTCTTTCAGCTTGTTAATGGCCTTGGCTTTCTTGATTTCCTCTTTCAGTTCCTTAGTGGCTTTGGCTTTCTTGATTTCCTCTTTCAGCTTGTTAATGGCCTTGGCTTTCTTGATTTCCTCTTTCAGTTCCTTAGTGGCTTTGGCTTTCTTGATTTCCTCTTTCAGATTGTTAGTGTCTTTGACTTTCTTGATTTCCTCTTTCGTTATGCTAGCGTTTTTGGCTTTCTTGATTTCCTCTTTCGTTTTGTTAGCGTCTTTGGCGTTCTTGATTTCCTCTTTCAGTTTTCTAGTGTCTTTGGCTTTCTTGATCTTGCCCGCCACTTTGTTCTTGTCCTCTGCAGCATCTGATTCATAAACATTAAGAATTGTAAGTCTTAACTCTTAAGTCTCTCCTTTTTAATACAACTTCAAAGCAATAAAAGTTCATGTGTTCTTGCTTACCAACTAGTTCCACATCTGTTTTGGCAACAGAGTCAATGTTGGAAACATCCTCCTGCACAAACAATGAAAGCTTAAGATCACAGAATCTTGAATCTAGAGTGTTTCTCTTCACATCAGTAAATGAATATATATACCTGCTTTGTCTTCCTCTGATAAGCAAAGTTATCAGAGCCCTCAACCTGTAGAAGCTCAGAGACTGATGAAAGCCCACTTGCTTTAGCTCTGTGTGTCAGTATCCCTGTAGGGCTTTGACCTCGTTTCTTCCTGTAAAAACCCTCACACCGAAAGGCTCTCTCTCTTACTTCGTTGATAAACCTCATAAAAATCTCAAAGCAATCCAAAAGATTATGATATTTTTACCTGCAGAAACTGCAATTGCAGATGCCTCTGCACTTGGGACATATCCAATCATCTGAGGTTTCCACCTCTTCTGCATCCTCACCATACCTAAATTTAAAATCGATTCAGAAACCACAAATCGCAAGGAAAAATATGATGAACAGAAGGAAGAAATAACGAAAACAAAAAGCAAACCTGTTCGATAAGCACTTATGACAAAAGTTAATGGTACATTGCTTGTTCTTGCTCATGGACTTGCACGACGCAACAAAGTCCATCGTCTTCTGTCGACACTGCAAGATTTAAACTTTTTAATCACAAACGAGACTTTAGCCAAAATCAAAAGCATACAGCCACGCAAACAAAATCTACAGATCCATAATCACTCAAAATCAAAGGGGATTTTTCTAAGGCAGATGGGTTCGATTGCAAACGGCGAAATCGGAATCCACATATCCATAATCACTCAAATCAAGGGAAATCTCAAGGACAATGGGTTCGATTGCAAAAGGCGGAATCAGACTTTTCTAGGTTACTAATTGACACAAGTTGAAACAAAAGGGGCAGATTCAGGATCTCGAGTTGTTCAATGGTTTCACCTGGTGACAAGTTTTCCCGTTGCTGGAATCGTAGATTCTTCCTCCGACGACTCGAACGCCAGGGTTCGTTGTGCGCTTCAATGGTCTCTTGTCTCCCACAGCCATGTCAATCGAAGGAGGAAGAGAAGCCCAAAAGAAAAGGATGAAGAACTAGTTCGAAAGAGAGAAATTTGTTCGATGGGGTTTGATGAATAGTTTGAGAATCCTTATCACTCGCACAAGAAGAGAGCAATTCAGGAAAAACGAAAACAAATTGGAGAGAGAGAGAGAGGGAAACGAAAGAGTATTCAAATTTTTTACAAGAGGGAAATGAATTTGTGGAGGGGAAAATGGCCGCTCCTTTTTTTCATTTGCAGAGTATCTCCTTTTTTTCCTCCCTCCCTTAACGAGAACCTATTCTAAATTTTTAAAAGCAGCTCAAAAAAATAAAAATATTAATATTTTAATTATACAGATATATTTCAATAGAATCGGTTCTAAAAACTCTTGTTTAAAAACTTTTCTTCATTCTCTCTTCTTTTTTTTATTTTTATTTTATTTATTTTAATGATAGAGTTCTAGATAAAAATTTACTGTTTTGCTCTAAGATACTCACTTATATAGTTATTTTGTTTTTATTGGTTTATTTTTTTAAATATTAAAATTTAATTATATATATTAGATTATAATAAAATAATAGTTAAAATACTTATTTTTAGAACTCCATTATTACGAATAATCTAAGTATCTTAAATTGGGTATTTTAATATATTAAATTAGTATAATTCAACAATATTATTTAACTTTAAATGTTAAATAATTGAACAAATTAAATGATGACACCTTGCATTTTTAAGATAAGAATACATTTTGAAATATCTAAAATAAAATATTATTTTTCTCTTTTTTTTTACTATTATTTTTTTCACTCTTTTCTTTTTTATTATTATTTTAAATATATTAATGATAGATACTATGTTGAGAACCTCTCCGTTGGAGGTGATCTAACAATATTTTTAAAAATAACTTTAGAAAGATTATAAATCTTAATATTTTTTATCAAACAAAGTTATAACAACAATATCAATAACAACTGTAAATTTCGTTGATAATAACTTATCCCTTCTCAATAGAATGATTTTATTGAATTTTCACAAAAAATTAAAAATAATTAACTTACAAATGATCGTTAAATAAAACGAAATTGATATAATTGACAATTCCTCAAAATTTTATAAAAATATGTTTTTTACTAAATTTTTCAAGTTGTTTCTTTCGTATTTTGTAAAATAACAATATAAGAAATTGTCAACTCTTCCAATTTTAATTCTTTAAAAATTTTATAAATAATGACAAAATAGTAAAAACAGATTTGTTTCTATTCATTTTTTTTTATATTCATCATTATTTTTCATATTCTTTTCACTTACCATCATTTGCACTCATGATATTTAGAAATAGTATGTTTTTGTGGAAAAAAATAATCTAAAAAGTCAATCTTTAGGAATGGAATGGAGTAAGATATGTAAGTTGTGTATCATATTGCACATTGGAGAAAAAGATGGCCGATGACATATTGGCACTGTGAAACTTAGCACATATTTATTTGGATAGGAAAATATGACATTACATAAACATATTTTTTTAAACCTATTTTCCCCATTTATAAATCTGATCTTGCACAAAGACAAAAACCTGTTTCTTCAAAACTCAAATATGTTCACATGCCCCACTCTCTTTTGAGATCACCAAGATTCCGTTTTATATCTTATTTGATCTTATTTACATTCACGTCATCTTATTTCAACGGCAATAATGGTATGAGTAGAACTGATATACACAAAGACACAACATGGGATGATCTTGTAGAATAAACTAGACTAGGTTTTGAAAAAAGCAAATCATTCTCTTTGAACAAATACTCCCCACTGAGAGATTAGCGTTAAACCTCAAACTGATGTAAGACACAAACAATTCCTCCTCTTGTTTCCCTTATAGCTATATGAACTTAGCCATCTTTGGTGCATTTTTTTATAATGCCTCCTTTCTCCTCTCACTCCAGTTCTTTGAGAAAGTCAATGTTGTCCACAAATACCTGTAAAAAAACCCAAGAAGACAGCAACTCAAAACACGATTACTCAGAGCTGTTTCCATCAGAATGATGATGACTCTCTCTCTCTCTATCTCTCAAACACTAAGGATCTCTTACCGATTTCCAACCGTCAGGATCCAAACACGCGGTGATCTTGGTGCTTATCCCTGGTAAGGGACCAGGTTCCCTCGTGATTTTCCCACCAAAGAGTTTCACTGCCTCTGCAGTTTTGTACACATCATCCGTCCCTATCGCAATCTGATGACAGTAATGTTTTTAACAAGCATTAACAAGTTTAAAACTACAGCTACCTTCCACATGTGTATAAGAAACTTAGATGTCGAATTTCTCTTACCTGAGCATAAGCATTTCCTTTGTCATATTCAGTGACACCATAGTTATACGTCAGCTCTAGGACTGCAGATTTTTCTTCTGGACCATATCCCATCATAGCTATTGTGTACTGCAAATAACAACTTACATTAAGCGAGTTTATACAAACAAACAAAACCCAAACCAATCGAACAAGCAATAGTAGCAGGTTTTGCAGGTAAAGCTGAATAGAAAAGACCATTCATATTGAAAATAGAAGTTTATGGTCACGAGGGTAAGAACTAGATCCATGAGGCATTGCAAGTTACCTTGTACTCTGGGTTGTCTCTTGTGCGCAGAAGTTCCATTCCAAAAGCCTATAAAGAAGACAAGAATATATATCAGACAGAAAAACACTTATTGTTCAGGCCATAAAACTCTCATATCTCAGAACAATTTCATAGGACTCACCCTCTCATAGAATTTAATGGACCTATCGAGATCACCAACACGGAGCATAACTTGGCAGAAAGGTTCTGGTGTAGGACCTCTTTCCAAGAGTTCGAATTTGTAACCATCAGGATCTTCAATGAATGCGATCACAGTTTTGCCACCTTTAACAGCACCAGGCTCCCTTGTTACTTTGCCCCCTTTGGCCTTTATAAGCTCTACTGTTTTCGCAACCTTTTTGGAAAGAAAGGTAACTTCTTAGAAAGAAAGTGAAAAGATTTGAGTAAAAAGGCAGACACATCAAACAAGAAGACTCACATCGTCGACAGCGATACCAAAGTGACCAAAACCCGCCCCGATGTCATACTTGTCAACTCCATAATCTGGAAACAGAATATTACGCTAAATACGCTAAGCCAAACCATCTTAGTATATCAAATGCATATTCTTGACCACACTGGAGCTAAAAGGGAGTGATGACTTACTGTAAGTGAGCTCGATCACAAAGTGTGAATCTTCAGGTCCATAACCAAGGAAAGCATTTGTATATTTCTCTTCTGGTATATCACGCTTGCGTAGAAGCTTCATTCCAAGACATTCAGTATAGAATCTGCAGCAGCAATTGAATGGTTCTGTTAATCCTTAATGCTAGCTTACTTCTAGATATCAAATCATATCACAAGTAAAATAAACTTTGTATTGTACTTTATCGTCCGGTCCAAATCGCCAACACGATAAACGACATGAAGCATTCTTCTGTTGTCATCTTTCACCCACTTGAGAAGATCACCTTGACTAGTAGCTGTGCTTGCTTGAGCTGCATTTCCAGATTCAGCTACTCCTGAGCAGTATACACCTCTCCTCAAAAGCTTATGAGGATTTGTACCAATGAGCTGTGATCGAGGAACGTCTGCAGATGAACAAAGAACAATCAGCACCCATTTACAAAATTCAGAGTAAAACTGAAACTCCTTCAAGATAGGTGAATGAGGATTGAATACAAAGGAGTACAAAACGGGAAACAGAAGATAGAGCCCTAGTTCCAGATTTCAGTAATCGATTGAACAATGATTGATCCCTCGAATACTCTCTATCTCTCTCTCTCTATCTGTCTCGCTCGTGTAGTCAACGATATATGATAAATCTAGAGGTGGAGGATGTTTACGGGAGTAAGAGAGGGTGCGAGAGAGATTCCGGGAGAGGAAGGAGACGGGGAAGCGAGGAGATGCGGAGAAGCAGCCCAGGGAAGGTCGGATGGATGCCGCCATGGGAATTATCCTCACCATCTTCTACCTCGAGAATCCTTGGGATTCAGCTCGTGCGTTTGTGTAGGCGGTCACAATCTCGAATCTGTGTGTTTGTGATTCTGAACCAAGCGGTGGTTATCTTTCCTCCGTCGGAGAGGAAGTGACGACAACGGTGAAGATAACGCTCAAGCCGTAAAATTTTGGTTTATTTATTTATTTATGGCGATTTATAAAAATAGAATAAAACTGGAGCAGGTATTTAAAACTTTAGCATAAATACTTTATTTTGTCTTTTTTGGAGTTTAGTATATAAAATTGAACGGTTCTCGTAAATATTTTTTTTTTTTTTTTTAAAAAAGGGTTGTTCTCGTAAATTTCGACATCAAAATTCTATATAATTGGATTAAGATATGTTAATTAATCACACGATTTGGCAATTTCCTTTGTGATTGTTGGGTCAAATAAAACGTAAAAGTTGGTTTTCTCATATATATAAACTGCTACTTAATTCAAATTTTTTCACATATCTATGATAATTTTCTAAAATATGTTATTTCAATTAAAAAATTAGTTTAAAGTTTGAACAATAGTAATTACACGAATCAAAAAAAAATATTTTACCTTAATAGCAAAAAATGGTTTTGTGTTACAAAAATGTTATTATTGGTGAGGAGGAGGAGAAGGGTTCATTGCAAAAATATAGTTATTAACATAAAACTATATATATACTTAAAAACTAAAATCAAACAATCTGAATCCATTCTCCGACGCTGGGAACACCGTTGTAGACGGCAAAGAGAAGATAATAGCCAGGAGGAGCAACGTTTCCACTAGGAGGAGCAACGGCTTGAATCTCATGAGAATCTCCATTCACCTTCTTAACATTAGAAATACCCAACAAGAGCAACCTCATGTTCATCGATACAGCATGCGTGGTAAACGGTGGTGCCAACATCGTAACCATAACATTGTCCTTTGACACATTTGCTTGTTTAAGCTCGATCCTAACGTTAAACCCTTGTCCATACTTGATCTGTTTCGGCGTCGCCGTGTTCACGATCTTCGGTCTCATGTTGGCAAGAGCCGGGTCAAGATAAGGCGGCGAGAATTTCTCGACACGGACCTCCGTCGGGTACTCGACGTTGTACTTGTAACCGTTGTTGGTGTTACTTCCGCCGACAAGAACTTTACCGTCGGGAAGAGTGATGGCGATGGCATGGTACACGCGTGGGATGTTTGAAGGAGCTAGCTCTTTGAAACGTTTGCCTATTGGTTTGCTAGGCATGTACAAGATCGGTGAAAGGTTCGGGTCTTTAGCGCAGCCCCACCCGGAAGTACCTCGTTTGGCGCCGTTCACGATGAGGACTTCTCCGTTGGGGAGGATGACAGTGTCGCTCATGACGCGGGACATTGGCATCATCTCCGTTTTCCAGACGGGTTTGGCACTGTTGAGGCTAATCCTCGCGCAGTCTTTCAAGGCCGGGTCGTAAATCTTTTTCGAATTCGAACGGTAGTATCCATCATGCTTTGCACCCCCGCAGATGAGTACATCAGCGGGGATGACAGCAGGGTTTTTGACGTAGAGTCTAATAGGGAGAAGAGCCGATGAAGCTGACCCGGGGTAGTTTCTTGCTCCCCCGGGGAGCTGAGGGAACTCTTTGATGACTTTGTTAGTTTTCGGGCTAAGGAGGATGGAACGATTATTCGCGAAAATGAAGAGGTTACCGTCAGTGTTGAGCCAAACGAAAGGGTACAGATTGTTTTCGTCTGGATCATTTGTTTGTCTAAGAAGCGGCGAGTCATATAGTTTCTTGTTGTCCATTCCTTCGGGAAGGATGTACTCGTAGTTGAGAGCGTCTCGACCTCCAACGACGATGAAAGTGCCATCAGGGAGAGTGGCTTGTGTTGAGTACCATCTCCTTGCAGCTAAAGCCTTTGGATACTCGACCCATGCGCAGTTTTCGCACGTAGAAAGGTACCTCGCCGTGTTTGCTCCTCCTTGGAATCCTCCGGTGCTAACCAAAGTCCCGTTTACGGTTAAACCTCCCGAGGAACACCATGTGTCCGTTGTAAGCTGCCATGTTTTCATAATTATAAGTCCATGTAACTACGGTCGATATTTCAAATATGAATAATATTTTGTTACCGCGAGAGGTCTGATGTTTCCGGATTCGATATCGACGAGGACAGAGTGAGCCCAACAATCGATTTTGTTAGCCTTTTGATCATAGACGTGGCAAGGTATGCCTGGAGGGAGCTTGATCTGCGAGATTCTCCAGATGGTTGCGTCGTAGAACTGTACTTTGTTGATCAATGGCATAAGAATAGCGTGCATGGCAGATACGCCGGAGTTTTTGAGGAATAGCTCCCATTTGCCTGGCCAGTTCATCTCGACTCCTTGGGGGATGGCGCCACCACCGCCTTTGCCCTTACGTTTTCCTGCTTGCGGTGGTTTTTTCTCGGCGGTTTCACGTCTGTTGTTACCAGTCTCTGCGCCATCATCAGCTGAACAGTTGGTTACCCCTGAGATGGATAGTTGAGAAAATACTGCCAACAAAACTATGATAGACAGTTTCCATAAAAGTCTTCTTGAGGCTCTCATTTCGGTAACTTGTTGTTTTTACTTTCTTTCGTTTTTTTTACTGTTTTGGCTGACAATCAGAAATGATGTCTCAGGTTTAAGTTGGTTTATGGAGAACAAGGTCACAAACTTGAGAATTTATAATTTTGAGCTTGCGTTTATTTTTGACATTTCCTTTTTTTGAATGGGTGGATAGCAAATTATTTTTGTTAAACATTGTCATTTTATTTTTGTATGGTGATCCGGTAAGAAAAGAACAAAAGGGATGGGTGAGATATTTCATCTTTTTCTCCGTACGTTTTCTGCGTCACGAGGTCATGAAATCACAGAAACCAATAGTAATTTCGTTAATAGAGAAAAAATATAAAACTTCAATTACAATCCCGACAATAAGTCGCTGATGTGGAATTTTAACGAATAAACTTAACCAAATAATCCGCATATTGGATCTACACAACAAGACAAAGGAAACGAATAAGTAGGAAAAGTGAAGTCTTACTGGAGTTTTTTTAACAGAAATTATGAAAATAAAATCATTTTCTTTTCATCTGTATTTCATTTAAAACTAAAAACCCAAACTACTTCACACACAAGCCACCAATGTTCAAAGTTATGTTTTGTGACATTGCATTTTTCTAAAAACAAACATAAATACAGTGCATATGAACAAAACATGAGATTATGTTCTGGTTTTGTCACACAAAGCAGGAGGTTTTGTGAAGAACGAAAACAAATAGGACAATATAAGAATTTCTCACCAACAATGATTTTACCACAACAAGTTCCTCACCTTGCGGATGAAAGCATCAACGATGAAGAACCAAGCCCTACACCAAAGAGAATCAAAAGAGAGAGACGCAAGAATTCCAACAAGCACTATCACAAACGATGCAGCAATACTCCAGTAGAAAGAAACCATATCGATTGAGGATTCATCATCTCCATTGGTAAACCCCAATTGGGGTTGTTAAAAAATATTTTAATATAAATTTCTCATCATCTCACTTTAAATACCTTGTTAGAAAACTTTATCTTTTTCCTCTTCCATTGGTAAAAATCTATTAAGGGTTCTTAAAAATAAAATAAAAAATTATATTTTAGAAATTATCATATGCAAATAAACAGACAAGTGAAAGAAAAATTACCATGAAGAGCTTTGCAAAAAATGAAATACACCCAACAACTCTTTCAATTATAATATTTTCAGGAACCTGTACCAAACGCATAATAAACATAAATCTAATGAGCTCGTCTGTAATCATTGGCTAAAGATTCGAAGCAATGTGATTGAACTTAACTAAATCATCTTATAAGTAGCCTCGGTTCTAAGACCAGCTTGACCAATCTTGAAAAACAATAAAACAGGAAACTCTCAAAAACGATGTGTTATCAACTCTCTTCAATAGTGATTACTTCCTATAATGATGATAAGAATAAGCTCACACGAGATTCTACTTTGGTGATACGTTTACAATGATTGACCCACGACCTGATCAAACTGATCTTCACTAGATAAATCTAAAAGTGTGCAGAAACAACATCAAACAAAATCCAAAAAGCACAGCAACCAAGCAGCAAAATTTGATTCATCATGAAAGTGTTCAGATTTATTTGACCGACATTAACAATAAAATGGACTAGCTTAGCCTTGTGGGGATCAAACAAAGGTAATGTACACTGTATCAAATTTCTTCTCCTTATTCTCAAAAAAAAGCGAAATCAAATTTCTGTTTTTGCAGGAACAAAAAAACACCTTCCTACTCTTTGCGGAAACTATACTCAAATAGTATATTATAAGAAGAACAATACCCACAAATGCTTGAACTTGGAAAATTTTGAATGACTGAAAATTATGAAAATATACCAACTATGAAGTCACTTTAGCCGCTTGTTCAGTCGCCTGATTCACTTCGATTATCTTCTTATTCTTCTCAACCGCCGCTGTGCCGAAATCAACACTACCTTGACCAATCTTGTTCCCGAGAATAGCAGAGACACCATTGATAGGTTGGTTAATGAAAAACCTGGAATCCCTAATCCTGAATTGCTGACTGAGGAACTCGAGATCGAAGAGACATGGAAATGAAGGTGGGTTGATCTGAATCAAACCCTTAAATCTCTTTGTTTATATCATAAGAGAAAGTAGAGAGAAATAATTTTTTTTTTGTTTTATTGGTTTTTGTTAAAAGGAGTCCATTGAACCAGGGATTGACAATTCTAAAAATTGTCAATTAACAACTGTCTCTGCTCTTTTTTAAATATTAATCATTTATTTTCTTTATTTTTTACTTTAAAAAATTCTTAAGAAACACCGATGGAGATGCTCTCAGCTTCCACTTCATTTTTAGTTTCTTGAAACTTGTTGCTGTTGCAGCTTATGTTTGAGAAGAGTATTACCAAAGTAACTTCTTGTATCAAAAGTGTTGAACTGTTTCCCCTGTGGAATGATTCATGATAAGTTGTTGTATGATACATTGAAGATAGCTAGGCGGCTCAGATCTGTGAGTTGTGGTGGGATCCGACCTTGTAGTCTGTTAAATGAAAGATCAAGGCTTTCCACATATTTAATACGTGAAAAGCTTTTTGTTATCACACCTGATAAGTTATTGTGCGAAAGATTGAGAGCTTGTAGTTCCACAAGACCTCCAAGCTCTTTAGGGATTTCACCAATCAGCTCATTTCTTGAAAGATCCACTCCAAACAATAACTTGAGATTCCCACCCATGTAGGCATCATAACGATGTTTTGTTGCAAATTCAATTTTAGCATGGGTTCTTGCAAGATAATCCATATTAAACATATCCACCACAAGCAGAGACTTGAAGTACATGCCAACGTTTTCTGTAGAGAAGAAGTTCGGTACATGAGAAAAACTAGGGATGTAATAACCATTATGGTGAGTGACTCCGTAATCATAACCATAGAACTCATCATCTTGGCAGCTTCCTGTGGAAACTGTTGTGAGATATATTTAGAATTTCAATCTTGCCCATGTTACCAATAGAAGATGGTAGGTTTCCTTGAAAATCATTATTAGCTAGATCCATATACCGTAGATGAGGAAGTATCAATCCAATGTTGTTAGGAACCGAATGGTTAAATTTATTAACTGACACATCAAGGTAAATCAGTTTATGAGCAGATTCAGGCAGCTGAAAGATTGTAAGAGAGTTATTCCGTAGAAGCAAAGCTTCGAGGTTTGTATTGTTAGCCAACAGCCATGAAGAGAAGTTTCTTGGAATTTTATTGTGAGAGAGATCAACATGACGCAGATCATTTTGGTGTAGGAGAAAATGAGGAACCTTCTCCAAGTTGCAAAAACGTAGTTCGATAACACTTAACTGAAATTTTGGCTGCCAAGAACTTTCCAACACTAGTTGAAGTGAGTTAGAATTTGAAGAAAGTTTGAAAACTCGAAGCTCTGAGAGGTTGGCGATGGAACTAAGTGAGAAAAAGCCTTGGAAGTTATTATCCAAAAGCGATATGTACTCGAGGGCAATGATGTTACCGAGATCAGAAGGTACCTCCCCATTCAATTGGTTCGATGAGAGATCAAGAACTCGAAGTTTACTCAAACTAGTTATACATAAGGGAAACTGACCTAGTAGTTTGTTGTTACTTATAACGAGTTCTTGCAAATCCCTACAACTCACAAATCCCTACAATGACCACCAAATGTGGAAGTTTTTAGTCACCTGAATGCTCTATCAAAACGTGAAAGTCATAAGTAAACTTGCCTTGCAATTCCATTGAGCCAGAAAACTCATTATTACTTAGATCCAGAGCTATTAGCTTCCTCAAAGCAGGTAACACTGCCACAAAGAAAAGCCACACAAAAGTACAAACACCTTTTACCTAAGAACATGATGATCTCAAGAAGGACACAAATCATATAAAATCGACTGAAATGAAAGGAAAGCATTTCTGGAAAATGGTTTTGAGCTACCTTGTACTGATATGGAGCCATTAAACTTGTTTCTACTAAGGTCCAACAGTTCCAATTTTGTCAAGTCTTGAAGTTCTGAAAATGAGTCAAACATATATATAATTATGATACAAATTCCATGTAAGACATATAAAGTTGTAGCAGTTACTATGTAAATGTAAAAGAGTTGCAAACTCATGAGACTGAAAAAACTATACTAAAGAGATCATGCAAGTTACAAATGTAAAATAAACACCTTTAAGAGGAAAAGGACCATCCATCTTGTTGTTCTGAAGATACAGAGTTTTAAGAGATTTAGCAGCACCAAGAAAAGGAAAGATGCTGTTGTCGAATTCATTTAAAGAGATCCAGAATCTCCAGTTTTTTAAACTTCCCTAGGCTTTTATAACCTGCAAACGAGAATCTTGCTAAGCATATAATGATAACATAGCTCATTCAATGAGACTGATCTAAGCCATTTCAAACATCTAAAATTTTAAAATTTCAAAATGTTCTTGTAGTAAAGTAACTACCTTCAACATTGTCAAAAAAGCCACCAAACTGGCCGTTTCCGTCTCCTAAGTGGAGACATTGGAGCTCTTCAAAGGGATGTATCAAAGAAAGATTTAGTAGAGACCTCTTCGGTTGGAACAGAGATCCAAGAAAGGTAAGCCCAATGACCCGCCCGTTTGTACGATTACACTTTACACCACTCCAAAGATAGCAATCGCTCTTTGTTGTGTCAATAGTCCAAGTAGAGAGAATATATTTGGTATGATCAAAGTCTTGTTGAGAGTTCTCTGAATGTGAAATGACATATGTCTTGAGCTCCAATAATGCTTTTCTTTCTTCCACAACACAACTTTTGTATCCATGTATCTGTCCCAACAATATCATCACCCACATTAAGGTTTGACCCAAGAACACCTTCCTCCCCATCACGATTTCAATGCAAAAAAAAAAAAAAAAAACTGCAAGTTTTGTTCCAAGAGACAAAGGAAAAACCAAGTTCTACAAAGAAATTTATTTGTATATTCAAGAAATCTCTCGATATAGGCTCGTTTAGCATATAAATAAACAAAGTCAAAGTCTTTGTAGAAGAATACGCATAATCATATCATATATGTGTGACGTTGGTCGTTGTCAGCATTTTTTTAAAGTTGGTCAATATTTATATCATATGATAATATCTCTTGTTAGCAAACGGAGTGGAAAAAGTTTATTGTTTAAAATGTCCTCTCACTAGACTTTTTCCTAGGTTTGTATTGGACCACGAAATAAGAACTTAGTCATACATATGTATCTTCCTTGGGGTAACACAGTCTCTCATGGTTTGGCTAGCAGAGAAATCTCAATCTCTTGAAGTGTTTTTCCTTTGGTTTCAATCACGTTTCGTTTCACAAACATCACCGCCATTAAACAGAAGGTCGAGAACATGGAGTATAGTAGCCGAGGACCAAGCTTCTCAAGCAACCTCAGAAAGAGCAAACCCACAAAGAAATTTATCACCTGAAACCAAAAATGTTAAAACATTAAGTTTATGAACGAAAACAAACAAATATACAATCCGAAAAAGAAAAAAAAAGTTTATCATTGTTTACCCAATGCACAGACATGCAGAAAGCCATAGCTTTTGCTCTAATTCGACTTGAGAAGATTTCAGGGAGGAGTAAACCTGGTACTGGACCAGCTCCTAGCGCGAATGTCAGCACAAACCTGAATCATAAATGACAAAAATTGTAACTAGACCACAGAAAAATAGCAAAGAAAATCTTACAGTTTCAAACAGACACTTACATAAGAGTGCCACCTACTGATAAACACAAAGCCGAAAAATGTGGTAAGTATGAACTTGTAGCACCAACTTGAATTGCCATTGCTAATGCCTAATACACATAAAAATAAATCATATATTAGCATTTATAATAAGAATAACAAGGAAAGAAGGCAAAGCACAAATACAAATGTATAACACACCATGCCAATAAAACTCCAAAGGAGAAGAAGCTTTCTTCCTACTTTATCCATCAACACCATCGCGATTAGGGATCCTGGTAATCACAACACTGTTACAATCCAAGATCCATATTAACTGAAAAGACAAAAGGATATATAAACAGTGGAGGAGAAGGCTATACCCAAGAGGTTTGAAATTCCGACGAATGTGTTGGCCATGTCCGATGGTACGCCGGCACTTTTGAAAACGGTGGAAGAGAAATAAAAAACAGCATTTATACCAGATAGCTGTTGCAAAGCAAACAGGGTTGATCCAATAAAAACAACTGCAAAAGGAAAAAGTGAATAACAACGTACTAAACAGGAAACAAAACAACACAACATACGTGTCTCCAGTTACTTTTCTCGGGGAAATAAAAGAGTTAAATACCTCTTGAGTGCCGACCATATAGCAGCTCCGAGAGGGTCACAACATCTGGCTCATCAGCTTTGTCTAGTTCTAGTTTGTGTAATTCTGCCATTGCTGTTTTCACATGAAACCCTCCGAGTAGCCTCTCAAACTCAGCTTCAGCTTCAGCGATTTTCCCTTGCTGCATAAGAGGATGGACCTTTCAAAGTTAATGATCGCAAAGGGAATGAGTAGCAGTGCTGTAAAATTAAATGCGGTTTTCAGGCTCAACAACGACATAACATTAGTGTAGAATTCAGAATGCTCTGTGATGCTTATGCATTGTAAGTTGTGAATTGTGAAGGAGAAGCAGACCTTGAATAGCCATTGGGGAGATTCGGCACAGAAGAACATCCCCACAGCGAGTGCTGCAGCAGGTATCGTTGACACCCAGAAACAGACACGCCACCTGTGTACCATAAAGACAGAGATGATCATAACTTCTAAACATATGCTTTAAGAAAGTCGTACCAAAATTTGATTCTACTTAAGATTATGGTAGATCATACAAAAGACAAACTCTCTTACCAACCAGGAATGTTATGGACTGGGATCCCTATAAACAAAGCTCCCATCAGTCCCAGACATGTAGCTATCTGTATGAAGCTTCCATATGTTCCCCTAACAAAAGCTGGTGATACCTACTCAACATTTGGGAAATTTTCGTAAGTCAAGCGGCTCCAAACTTCTTGTTGCAGAGTAATATCCATAATCAGTGCTTCGGATTCCTGCGTTTGATATACCTCTGTAACATAGAGCGCTGCCACAGGTGGGCCAAGACCCATACCAGTCCCAACCAAGAATCTTCCCAAAAGCATGACAGCTAAGCTGTTGCTAACTCCACTGAGAGAAACACGTTTTTAGCATAACCAACATATCAAAGTAATGAAAACAACGAAAACGCCTGCTAAGGGATCTCAATATTGTGGGCATCAAATGCTATCTTTAATGTAACCGTTGTAACATTTCCTTGTGGGGATTTAAAGCTTTTGCATGACAAAATTCGCCAGACTAGCTTACTGCAACACTAGCTAGGAATCTCCAATTACCTCACAAAAGCACCCAAAATCATAGGCAGAGCACAAAGCTGAAAGGCTCTCCGGCGTCCAAGACCATCAGCAACTCCGCCGCTGAATAAAGATCCGATAAATGCGCCACCAAGACATACACTAACCACCAAACCTTCACATTTGATAGCAACAAAGGATTATAAAAAATGTAAATGTAGTGATGACTAACGAACAATATGCCATGAAAATAGAAAGTAGAAGTAGTAATATATACCTTCTGCTAATGTATTACCACTAAAGCCAAGGTCAGAAGAAATGCTTTCAAGTGGTTCATTAACAACTCTGTAACAAGAAAATAAAATAAAAGTTTGAAGAACATCCACACAAGTAATAAATGAGACTTAGTAAAATCACGAACCCCAAGTGGTAGCCGAATAGGAAAGACGAAATTGTAGCAACAAGGACGTGTGGGAGTGAGCTCATCCATGGAGGATTTGTGGTTTCCGTTTCCTTGTTCATATCATCCTCTAAAAGACCTGAAGATAAATTTGAAAATTGGGAGATTAAAATAGACCATCAACACAAATCATTAGTTAAAAAAAAAAGGCTTAAATTCCAACAAGTTGCTAATTTTTATAGGCAAATTGAGATTTTAGTAATGGAGATTTTATACAAAATGCATGTTTGTACCTGAGTTTTCTTCGACGTCAACCATTGGTGAACTATCTCTCGATGACGTTCTCTTGTACATCGAGGAAGATGTCTCGCGTTGCAGACCCCACATGCGGCAGCTAAAACTCAGATCGCTTGATTTCACTGTTTACGATTCAGATTTCGAACAAAATTAGAGAGAAGTCGTAAAACAAAACACAGAAGCAATCCAAGCTAAAATCATCACAGTTTCCGAATCTCGGATAATCACTAGATGCAACGACAATCAATACCAAACGCAAAACACGAACAATTAGGGAAATATCAACAGCGTAAGAGGAAAACATACAGAGAAAGTATAAGAATCTATGGACGGTGAGAGATAGAAGAGAAAACAGAGGTCCCAGATGCTTTTTAGTTGTATAGAAGCTTCAAGAGGAAGAAGAAGAGAAGAATCCGTGAGCCGAAGTTGCTAAAGTGCGCGTGTAGTGAATCGTCAAAATGATAATCATGTGATTTTGCTTTCTACTAGATTCCTTTGCGTAAATTAAACGATTGGAGAGATAAGCACGTGTCACCTCTATGATTTCTGTATTTAAGAATCTCATAAAATTTGCTTAAAGTGTTTTTTCTTTTTGTCGGTTACATCATAATTAATTACTACCAAACAATTTCGTCATGAATTTTTTACCATTTGTAACAAAGTTTTACTAAATACAGAGATTTACCGTAGAACAATTTTTTAATGATAGATAAAAACAATTGAAGTGCAAAAAAAAACTTTATGTACGGCATTCTGGGAATATTTAATAAATGTTACTTTTATTAATCTCCTACATATTGCAATTCCTGGAAATTATAACTAATTTTTTTGTAATAAATTTGATTTTATTAATCTGTGATTTACTGCAATTTATGGAAATTAAACACTGTATAATCCCAAAATTCATGGGTGAATTAATGAATCAAATTTGCATCGATTGACTTTGGATTTCCATTTTTTGTCGTTTGCATATATATATATATATATATATATATATATATATATCATTGCCGACATAAAAAAAAATCACAAATTTGTACAGTATTTACATTGTTTTTACAAGAAGATCCATTTTAAGCTAATAATAAAATTAGCACAAATAAGAAAATCGTTTACAGACACTACTTAACAAACACTTTTTTCCTTCTTCTCTGCAACTCTATAAAACTACTTCACTCTTGAAACTTCATAAATCTCTCTACATACTATTATTATTAAAACCTCTAAATCCACTTTTTTTTCTTTTTTTTTTTTGTTATCCACTTTTCCTTTCCTCTTCAACGCAGCGCAAACAGATTGTCATATTCCATATCAGCAATGTCGAACAACGCATCTTCATCATCACCAACAGTTCCTAATGTCTCTGTTTTCCCAAGCTCAGCCTGCAAAAAAAACCACTCATTCAAGAAACATCGAAACGAGTCCACACTTTGTACTCATCTTCTTGCAAAATGCAAAACTACACTCACCTTTGTCTGACAGTATCTCTTGAGCACACGGTGGTATTGCTGGCGAGCCTCCGGAGAACTCGCCATAGACAGAACACGAGAGAAAGCCTCGTTCACCGCTCCGTCTACTTTCTGCTTACGGAACACCTTGAGAATGTCTTCGTCTTCACTGTCCTCCTCTGTAGCTTCCACGTCTTGCCTGAACCCTTTTAGCCCAGCACCTTTTCTTCTCCACCTCAATACAACCTTATCCAAAATCCCTACCGCCCAGCAGATAACCTTGTAATGCTTCCTTATCTGGTAACCTCTAACATGAGCCTGCCAAGAAAACACAAGAGATGCTAAAAGAAACAACTTATCTTTCGACCATTATGGAAATCAAGAAAGATCGAAAAAGATACCTGTATCTTGACAACTTTCTGGCGCTTAGCAAGAAAATCTTTACGGTCTTTGTAGCCACGGTACTTCTTCTGGATAGATACAGCTGCTGAATGGTAGTTTTTGACGTTTCCAAACGTTCGCTTCGACATGGCAGAGATTTCTTCGATACCTGCATAGATCCCATACTCCTGAAAGCAAGCAGCCACAGCCGCTTCTCTCTGCTGTCTCTTCCTAAACGAATGCGCACGGAACGCTGCCTGGATTCTCGCGGCTGCTTGAGCCGCGTTTCTCACCGCAGCAAGTGTGTCTTTCATCGAGTGTGGATCCTCGTTACCAGGAGAGCTCTGTCCTGAGATGGAGTTCACGGTTCTCTCCGCTTGCGCTTGAGCTGAGTCCTTAGCGGTTTCGGTTTCTTCAAGCGTGAGCGATGAGAGATGGTTTGTTAAAGCCACCTCTGATAGATAACCTGCGAGACCCTTGTGTCCATTAGAGGCAGCTATCGAAGCCGCGGTTTTACCAACCGGGTCTTGCGCGTTGGGATCAGTCACTGCTCCTGCTGATGCACCTGAAGCTATAAGTGCAGCCACCATTTTTTCACTGCCCAATAACAAAGACGACAGTATCGGTTTATTAGATTCATCAAGAAAGACACTATTTTCTACACAATCAAAAAAGTTGAAATGATGGTGTTGGTCTACTCTGCTCACCTCCCGAATCTTGCAGCCCAATGAAGAGCGCTCCATCCGTTAATATCACGAAAATCCACACCGACGCCATGATCAAGAATCGGATAAAGTGCCCACTCGAAGCCAAGCCCTGCAACCATATGGATAATGCCTTGTTCTTGCTTTGACAAAGAACAAGAAAAGTGAATTTCATCTTGGGATCTTGAAGACAGCCACGCGTCCAGCTTGTCTTTAAGCAGTTCTTGTAGAAGCCAATCAACTGTGCTCCACGATGTTGCGGTGCCATCTAGAATCGCGTCTATGGTACGGCTCCATTGTTCATCATCAGCTTTTAGTTTCTTCAACAAGTTATCAGTGCCAGAGTCTTGGTTACTTTCTCTGTCCGATAGAAGCGTTTGCACAAACCTTACTAGTAATAAAAGCTCGTCTGGACTGCACTTAGGGGAAGATGTGTCAGGCTTAACACGATACTCAAACTCCTTTATTTGACTACACGAGAGTCCATCTCCAGAAGTTATGCATAGGTTGACTTTTCCAGGGACACATGGAGGAGCTTCACAACGAAGAACACCTTCCTTGATGATCTCAAAAGGAACTGAAACACTCCCAAACATGCAAGACCATGTAGTTTCTCTTGGATCACAGAGAAATGATCCAATGATTATCACCTGCATTGTCAAAATGAAAAATTTCAAAAACCACAAAAATCCAACATTTGTTCTTTCTAGGCATGGAAATAACATAGTTATTAAGGATTATGTAAGAGATTAGACCTTTGTAGTTTCATTAGCGTAACCCCACTCTGGTGATATCTCCTGGATAGTAAACTTCTGCTGTCTCATTTCTTGCTCGAGAGGCAGTCCCATTTTTCCTTCATTGTCCATCATTCTACAGTACTCGGTGTTATTCTCCGGAGCTCCTAGCTCAGGATAACAAGCAGGAAGTTCGAAAGGAGCAAGATCTTGAGGCAACAACAATGTAGCTGAAAATTTAAGACAAATATCAGAGCTGACCGATCGTGAAACAAGCTAATGAAGCCTAACTTTAGCAAAATCAAATGCCATACATTGGTCAACATGGTTTCCGTAACTCCAGCTTGAATCTTCCTGCATTCCAGATAGCAAAGCTTTCGAAGAACTTGGTGTGCTTCCCTGCTTTCAATAAAATGTCGATAAATCAACTCTTCTGATGCTATTAGAGAATAGAAAACCATAAGACATCTGTATATGAAGCTAAGTACGAGTGCTATCCAGTAAAGTCACCTTTAGGACTCCTACACTACATTTTTTTCATTTATGCAAACTCATTAACAGATATATACAAGAATAGTCTTCCTTGCTTGATCCCACATTTCATTTGATTATACGAGAGAGTTACCTCAGAGTTAAGAGCTATAGAAGCGTCGCATGCCTCCAGGACCTTTTTCCAAGATTCAGACTCTTGATCTCCACTCCCTCCTTTACCACCTGTATGAAGAATGTTTTTTTTATACTCTTCCTAATAACTAAACAACACTCTTCGATCACGCGCATAGACAACATCATAGAGAAACTAAACAATGAAGAAAGCATGACAAGACTTTAAGGGCATGATGAAGCTACTTTTATATAAACACATAAATTGTAGATCGTCCATAGACACTCTGCTACAGTGAGGAAACAGAAAGGAAAGTCATAACTTTGGCGTACCTGAATCATTCTTTACGAGCATGAGATTGTTAGAATGATACTGGGCTCCGACATACCCTCCGTAACATCTCCCTAGCCTGTTATTCTCTGTTCTCTGATGTACAGTTTCCGGCTGAGCAAGGAGATCAATGTCTTTACTAAACTCTATAGAAAGGAGACTATCCAAGCTTTCGTTTTGAGTGTAGAGTGGCTCTACAGTGTTAGCATTATACTGGGCTCCAACGTACCCTCCGTAGCATCTCCCTAGCCTGTTATGCTCCGGTCTCCGGTATACAGTTTCCGGCTGAGCAAGGTGGTGATCGATGTCTCCACTAAACTCTAGAAACTGGAGACTATCCAAGCTTTCGTTTTGGGTGTTGAGTGGATCTACAGAGTTACCATTATCATCACCGAGACTCAGTTGTTCCTCAAGCCTCTTCAAAGCCTGCCTCTTCTCGAACTCAAAGGAGCTTCCACTTCCTTCTGGTGTCTCAACTCCGTTACTCTTGAACACAACGTCGGAGTTAACCTCTGTTGTGCCCGGAGAAGTAGATGAATGGTGATGTTGTATGTCGGTGGAATCACCAACGTAGTGATTGTAGCTTACGTTCTGAGTCCCAATGGAGCTTGGACTTGAAAAGAGAGTCGAAGGATTTGGTGAAAACTGCAAAACGGTTCCATTAGTTTGCTTCCCCTGAAAAGTTAAAGCCAAAAACCATAACTTAACAAAACGAAACCGAAAGTTCTGTTTTTTATAGTGTAACAAATATTGCTTGTCGGAGAAAGTCACCTCTTTTCCCTCGGTTATATCTCTGTAATGAACAAGAACAATATGGTCGTATTCCCTGATATAAAGAGCAATACATGTAATGTTAGAAAACATCTCATTTTTTGAATAGAAATCAAATAATAACATCACAAAAGTATGAGTACACTCACGGATCTAGCATCCAGTAGATACGCCTCTGAAAAGTAGGGTCATGCTCTCCATGTGCATAATAACAATTCAAAGCCTCAGCGTTACCCACCTGTTCACAAACACATCAAAGACTCGTTTTAAAAACCTTGAAGAAACATATCTAAAACTGCAAAAGACAATGTCTTGGATACATTTATACTGAAGAAAGCTCCCAAAAGCAAAAGTACTACGACTGAAATAATCTTAAGTTAAGTATCTCTAAAACTGCTTTAAACAACCTTAAGTCGTTCGTGAGCTTCTGCAATAGCTCTCCCATCTCTCTTTTTCCGCCATTGATGGCCATCTTTACGGAAGAATTTAAGAACCCTTCTATTGAAAAGAAGCAAAGATCCACCTGAGACATGAGTTTCAAGAAAAGTCTCGTATCAAAAACCGATTTCTCGTTCATGTCCATGTCAAACTAGTAAAGAAGAAGCAAAGTCAAACTTACTTATAGGCTTTTGAGGAGCCTTATGCGTTAGCTGATATCTCTCATAATTCTTCAATATGAAGTGTACCTCAGGAGGTTTCAACCAACGAACCTGAGCTTCTTGTTTTAGAGTATTAATTTCATATTCTGGAATCAAACACAAAAAGATTTCGCCTTTTTAAGTCATCGACATACCCAAAAGGGGCAAAATGGAGAAAACCCGTTCAGAAATTTACCGGATTGCATAGCGATTTAGTGTGAATTTTCCGACGAATCGAAGTCGTTGATCAACAATCAACCTACGGTGTTAGAGACAAACATGAGGATCAGTTTGGTCTTCGTTGTTAGTAGGTTGTGATCACAAGGATCGAGATAAGAAACAGAGAGAAGTCGGTAAGAGAGTACGGACGAAAGAAAGAAGAAGAAGAGAGGGATTAAAGATTAAAAACGAAGAAGAAGGCTGTAAAAATTTGACTATGGACTGACCAAGATTCTCTGGGAACAGTGAAGGACGCTTCCGACAGATAGAGCCACGACGATGAATGCAAATGCCAGTTAAAGGTGGAATAATCCTGTGTGGCGATTCCTATTTTATTAAATCGAGACTACTGGATACTTGATACCCACGTGTCGGATTATAAATTAACTAAAAAGCGGCTATGGAACGTAATTACGGAATTATCCCGACTGTTTGACTTTAGAGAGAGTAGAGACCACGATGACCAAAGAAATCAACTTGCCATTGGAAAATTTGAGGGTAAATTTGTCATTGTTCTTGAGCTTTGTCTCAAGTCTCAACTATGCATGATATTTTCTAATTTTATGCATGATATTTTGTAGTTTCTCAATAATTTGATAAGAGGGGAAGAAAAAAGGTGCACTGGTCAAAAATATTTTGAAATATTATCATATTTGACTACAAAACATTTCTTAAAATGTGATTTTATATATAGAGATAGAGAAATAATGTTTATCAAATTTATGATTGTAGTTAGTAACTTTAACCAATACAATGATTTGACTATACTACATTTCTTTTAAAGTGATTTTGTTATATATAGAAAAAGAGGGATAATGTTGATCAAATATGATTATAGTTAATAGCTTAAGACAATGATTTGACTGTACAACATTTCTTTACAAGTGATTTTTTATATATATAAAAGTATAGAAATAATGTTAATCAAAAATATGGTTGTAGTTTATACTTAAACTAGGAGTTTGGCCTGCACGCATGTGCAGACATAAATAATTTTAAAAATTTAATTACATAAATATAATATCTAAACTATTATAAATATTTTATTTTTTGTAATATATAAAAAATTAGGTACAGCGATTAAATTATAGGACTTAATAGCAAACTATGGTATAATTTTAAGTAAACATTTCATTATAAACAAAGGCTCATGTTATTATGTTAAAGGACCAAATGTGTTAGATCTGTGGATAGCTGGTTAAGCGGGTTATCTGCTGCGGATTTGCGGGTCAGGCGTACATACCTGCAAATTTCATCATCTTCTTCGTCTTCAATTAATCTTCCTCAATTTATCCAGTTATTTAGCCTCTAAATTCTCAAAGACTTCTTTGTATAAAACAAATATTTGAACTAAAATAAATTAAACACAGAAAATTATTTTAACTTAAAAATATTCCAACTCTCTTTGTATATTTGTTTAGCTTATATTTCGTGTGGACAACAAAAAGAGCTCTGTAGTTAAACATTGCTAGATTAATGTTACTTTGGATTATATAGTCGGTGCATGTGATGAAGACAATTCTCATAATTTTTATACAATTTGATGATACAATTAATGTTGCTTTGGATTATATTGCGGAAAGATAATCTCAAGAAGACTGTTAAAAGTAGATAATCATATTTCCGTTAACAAAACGTGGTATACTCTAACTTCTTTTTGTATATTTGTTTGGGATTCTTGCAAAAATGACCTAAAATTTGATTTGAATTGCAAATCTAACCCACAAAAATCACCCTCCCAACATTTACTATTTTTTGTCCAAACAATCCTTCATAGTTTCAGTTATTCACGAAATTGCCATTATTTTTAATTAATTTCTTTTATTTTCAGAAATCCAAATGCCCAACTAATCCTCATCTTCCTCACTTATTTACGAAAATGCTCTGAAAGTAGACTTCTCTCGGTCCGAATGAAGTCTACTAGTCAACGCCCAGGTTAGTTTTGCAATTGACCGCATGAAAAAGTAGACTTCTTTTGGTCCGAATGAAGTCTACTCCATTTCCTTTGATAACAAAAAAATGGAGTAGACTTCTCGAGTAGACTTCTTTAGAAGCAGGTCATTTTTGCAATTGACCAACCTTTGACTTTGTAGAGTAGACTTCTCTATGCAAAGTAGACTTCTCCGAGAAGTCTACTTTCGTAAGTAGACTTCTCACAGGTCATTTTTGCAATTGAAAAATATTTGACTTTTTGGTCAATTGCAAAAATGACCTGCGAGAAGTCTACTTATGGAGAAGTCTACTTCCATAAGTAGACTTCTCGGAGAAGTCTACTTTTGCAAGTAGACTTCTCGTAGGTCATTTTTGCAATTGACCAAAAAGTCAAATATTTTTCAATTGCAAAAATGACTTGCGCGAAGTATACTTATAGAAGTAGACTTCTCGGAAAAGTCTATTTTCGTAAGTAGACTTCTCGCAGGTCATTTTTGCAATTGACGAAAAAGTCAAATATTTTGCAATTGCAAAAATGACCTGCGAGAAGTCTACTTACGAAAGTAGACTTCTCGGAGAAGTCTACTTTTCATAGAGAAGTCTACTAATATTTTGGCAATTGCAAAACTAACCTGCGAGAAGTCTACTTTTATCCGAGAAGTCTAGTTTTCTTGTTTTTTAAAAAAATCATTTTTATACAATATATAACGAATTATAAGATTTTCGTGATCCTAAGCTTCTGTTATTAAGTTTTCTTGCTTATGTATAAGTTTTGCATGTTTATATTTTATAGGTATAATCGAATGAGTTTTCATGTTTTATATGATACTTAGCTTATTAAGAGTAGACTTCTTAGTCTACTCTAGAAGTCTACTATGTAGACTTCATCCGACTTTCAGAGAAGTCTACTTATGCAATTTTGATGTCTAATGTTGTTTGGATTTTGTTCTTTTTTCACAGAGAATGGCTCACATACCCGCTGTTTATGGAGAATGGGTTAAGAGTGAATCAGTGTGGCAGTTCGAGGTGGATAATAGCAAAGGAAGGCGAATGTTGTTCTTAAGAGATGGTTGCACACACATGGTGAGCTTCTTGGTGAATGTTGGCAAATGAGGGCGAATAGCAAAGGAGGGCGAATGTTGTCACCTTTAAGTTATGTAAAATTAATGTCTTTAAGAAGTTTACTCGAGACAATGAGAAGTCTACTTCAGAAGTCTACTCGAGACAAGAGAAGTCTACTCGGTTGACAAGTTATATGATATAAATGAGAGAAATGTCCCTCTGAATCACTTTTAAGTTATGTAAAATTAATGTCTTTTAGAAGTCTACTCGAGACATGAGAAGTCTACTCGAGACAGGAGAAGTCTACTCGAGACAAGAGAAGTCTACTCGAGACAAGAGAAGTCTACTCGGTTGACAAGTTATATGATATAAATGGGAGAAATGTCCCTCTCAATCACTTATAAGTTATGTAAAGTTAATATCTTTAAGAAGTCTACTCGAGACAGGAGAAGTATATTTTGTAGAATAGATAAACATAGATAATTTAGGAATTTGATACAAAACATTCAATGCAATTCAACATTACATAGAAAATAACCCTCTAAACAAACAAACATTTAAGGATCACTAGTTGTAAATCTTAAAACTGGCATAAGAAATTACTAGTAAACTAAAATCTCTGAAAATTATGTATGCAACTGAGGTCTGCTTGAGAAGTCTGCTTGAGATCATGAAGTCTACTCGAGAAGTCTGCTCGAGATCGAGAAGTTTACTCGAAAAGTCTACATTCAGATCTGCAAAAAAAATCAACAAAATTTAGATCTGTAACAATAACAAAAAATTTAGATCTAGAACAAAATCTATAAAATTTATACAACAATAAACTCAGATCTACAATATAAACTTAGATCTACAACAATAAGCTCAAATCTAAACTAATAAGCTCGGATCTATAATAATAATCTACTATATTTATAACATTCAGATCTGTACAAAAATCAACAAAATTCAGCTCTGCAATAATAACAAAAAATTAACAAAATCTACAAAAATTATACAACAATAAACTCAGATCTACAAAAATAAACTTAGATCTACAATAATAAGCTCAAATCTATAATAATAAGCTCAGATTTGCAATATGAACACAAAGCAAACAAAAAGAGGAACACAAAAGCTCAGATTTGCTTACCACTACCATAACCTGCAAGTGAGAGGAGGTTGAATGCAAGATAGAGATGATGGAGAGGATATTGATAGCAAGAGAGGAAGGAGAAGAAATTCATTGCCAGAGAGAAGGAAGAAGAGAGAGAGGCGTTTTTTAGATAGAGATAGACTTTATTGTTAATACAATTAGGTTAAACTCTCCTTATATATGTAGAAAAAATTTAGTGTAAGTAGACTTCTCCAAGAAGTCTACTCGAGAAGTCTACTCGAGAAACCGAGAAGTCTACTCGAGAAGTTTTTTAGTATTGATTTTTATCCTAATTTATCTATGATGATTTAAATTGATTATTTTCTGTCAAATTTTATTTTTAATAGGTGTAAAAAAGTATATATTTGTTGTTATGTATCTAATTTTTTTTTATCAAATTATCTTTTATGATTTTTAAAATTAATTGTAAACATATTATTAAAGAGTAGACTTATTGGAGAAGTCTACTCGAGAAGTCTACTTAACTTCTCGAGTAGACTTCTCTAGGATAAAATAGTAATTGAGGTTGGCGTTTTTTTGTTTGGTCATAAGGGTTAAAGTTGTAATTTCACTACCTCTGTGAGTTATTTTTGTCAAACATGCTATAGGGGGTCTAGTTTTGTATTTTAACTCAAGTTTTGAGTCATATTCAGCAATTCTCCCTATTTGTTTAGCTTATGTTTTGTGTAGACAACAAAAATGGATTCTTTAGTTAAACATTGTTAGATTAATGTTACTTTAGACTAGGAAAAGGGACCCCGCTTCGCGGGGTTAATTTGCGGTATATTAAAAATTAAATTAAAATTTATTTAAAATAATTATAAGTAAAAACATAAAATAAAAATTAATAATAAAAAATATAAACATCCAAAATAATTTATAATGACTAAGATAAAAAAGTATATATATTTTAATTATTAACAATAAGTTCTAAAGGGAAATGTACAAACTAATTAAGATAAAAAATGATTACTACTAATTATTAATAGGAAAAATAAGAAATAATAAGATACACAAGTTTTTAAATATGAAAATATACAATCTGAAAATATAATATATATATGCAATTTAAAAACTATTTTTATAATTATTAAAAAATTCGTATTCACAAAAAAGTGTAAAGCAAAAAGTAAATATATAAGCAATCTTTCAATAATAAATCCACTATAGTAAGAAAGTAAAAGTTAGACCCAA